CTCTCTCTCTCTCTCTCTCTCTCTCGCTCCCGCTGTTTTATCCTCTTCTTATTTACCCCCCCTCCCCCGCTTCTTTTTTTAAATTTTGCTCCTGAACGTCACATTCCTTTACTGTCTTTCACTCGCCTTTAGTGTTGCTGTCCCTTGTGCTGAAACGGTCGGTGGTCAGTTTTGAAATTTGTTTCGAAAGGGGAGCATTTAAAAATACATAAAGTTTTGCAACTTTAATACTCTATGAAATAAAATAATAAACTTCATATCTTTATTACAATCAACTGTGGTACAATAAGAAATGAGGCAACAATTCAACTTTCGTTATAAAATGAAAAAAAAATAACAAAAAAATATCTGACGTTCAGTAGAAAACAGAAATAGCACAGCTCACTTCCTGTGCTGAACACAGCTACCATTAAATAGAAGTGATTACATATTTAGTTCCATTTAGTTTTAGTCATTTAAATTTCTTATGACATATCAGCAGTGATCTAAAAAATATAGCTGAACTGAAATAAAAAAAAGACTTGCAAAATGATTCTGTGGCGCACAATATTGTTAATGTAAGAGCACAGGCTTTATTGATATTGCTAAATAATACGGGGTGTATTATTCTTTTTCAATTTACAAATGGATCTAAACTTGCCTTCACTGTTGGATACAACGATTACATGTGTCCTGATCATGTTTATAACACAGACATTACCGTAAATGGGCTCTAAGTGCCGCTGTTGATACATCACTGACTTTCCGTCCAAATCGGTGATGCAGCGGTCCTCCCCTACTCAGTGTTTCTCTGCTTGAACGACGCTGCTCTAATCCGTTACGGTAGGGTGTAGAATTCCTGCTGGAATATCCTTGCCTGAAATGTGGAAATGTGATTTTTTTTTTTTAAAAATACATCTGTTTGAAATTAAGAAGAGTCACTGTTACTGCACCGTTTTATTTATGATGGCCTCTATGTGGATAATTGCTGACAGAGGCCGACGGCAAGCGCTGGTGTTGATTCTTTGTCTCATCGAGCTGAGCGCAGTGGCTGGTCAGGCTCGGTATTCCATCCCGGAGGAGCAGCAGTTTTACAAACGTTTGCTATCACAAAATATTAGTCTAAAGCAGAACCTAGTCATATACTCATATCTTAATAATTCCTTCTTTTTTTAATTTTACGTATTTCCAAATGCTTCATCTCATTTCATACGAAAGTTCTCATCAGACCTTACAACAACCGAATTAGTCAATCATCTTATGTATGTGATTTCATTGTACATAATTGTATATTTCCCTTAAAAGTAGCTTTTTCTTATGAGTCAGGTAATATTTTTATTTCATTTAAATAATGAGCGGCACAGTTTTTTGAGCAGATGTTTGATTAAAAAAACATTTTCAATTGAATCTGGATAGATTTTAATTCCCTTTCTGTGAAATGTATTAAAACATTGATGCTGAAGTTAAAGTATTTCAGTCAGTCGATAGTATTGTCTTTTTCAACTCGTTTCATATTAATCTCCATACTAGATAAAATGCATTCATTTCCGGTTTAACAATTGTTATTTTTAGTTTTATTCAAGCCTCATGAGATTTTTCACATTTTCGACTCTAAGCGACGCTGTTGGCCAGTAAGATGATTTTTTTTTTTTTTTTTTTTTTTTTTGCGTTACGTTCTCATTCAGTCCATCCTCTCGGTGATCATGACGTGAGGAAGGCTCTCCGTGTGTTGTCCAGTGCGGATTCACAGACTTTCATTTGAAGCATTTACAGCTTGAGGACAGTTGTAAATGTAACGCCGGCGCTTATATATTGGGACGTTTTCTACTACATACAAAGGAAAAAGCTTCCATCCTTTGATTATTTCCATCGGAGTGATGGCGACATTAAGATCTCTGACCTGCATTTCTTCAGAATGCCGATCATTTTATGAACTGCGACGTCGCATAGAACTCCTTCTGTTGCTGCTTCTTGCGGTTAACATGGTAGGTGGTCAGATTCGGTATTCTATACCTGAGGAGATGAAGAAAGGCTCTGTTATTGGTAATGTGGCGCAGGATCTTGGCTTGGATCTGAAAAGGCTCCGCTCAGGGCGGGCCCGTATCGTGACCGGAGAAAACGTTCACTACACCGAGCTGCAGACAGACAAAGGGATTCTGGTCGTGAATGAGAGAATAGACCGAGAGCAGCTTTGTGGGGACGTAACGCCGTGTAGTTTCAGCTTTGAACTGATATTAGAAAACCCGATGGAACTGCACCCCATAACAATAGAAGTCTTAGATGTTAATGATCATTCTCCGATATTCAAGAAAGCAAATATTATGCTAGACATTAGCGAGTCCGCAAATCTCGGTGCCCGATTTGTGTTAGATAGTGCAGAGGATCCTGATGTTGG